CATTCCCTTCAGAACAAGTAGCAGTTTATCTGAGGACATTCTAGGTACTAGCTCCAGGTCCCTGTCCTCTTAGCTCCCTTCTCAGGATCCCTCCAGATCCAAACAATAGCTCTAGTAAATAGTAGATACACTAGTTTGTACATTAATAAGGCTTTTGTATAGAAACACCATCTCCCTACTTAATGTGTTCTACTTCTAATCCTAGTATACAATGTAGACAGAACCCTAAACTGGAATAGTTGAATCACTAAGTTTGTCCAACTACAGATGACCATTTAGGATTATAAGGAAAGTATTAAGTTTAGAGTTACTAACCTTAGAAAGACAGACATCTTTATTAGATTCAAATAGCTTAAGGCTTACAACCCTACTATTAACTAGTTAGAGTAGACACTCATGTTTGATCAGTGTTCTGAGTCTTGTGACTACTTTGTACTACTGTTCTGAGTAGATGTAGACACTTCTAATGTTACTAACAGTTTTAATAAAGGTGACTGGTTGTTCTTCTTTGACTAGGATAAATATGTGGATACATATTCTAGTCAAGGTAGAACAGAGTCAATCTAAAGGATGTCTGAGACAGAACCAGTTTGGAACCTCCTTAGAACAACTCTACTCTGGAACACACATAGACTCAGCCTGCCAGATTTTGTCTGAGAGTTCCCTAAAGTCTTTAGTAAAGAGGAATTTAACTAGCTTCCTAAACACTGTCTCTAGGACTATACAATTAAATTGACTAAGGGTTTCCAACCTAAGGATTGTAAGGTCTACCTATTCAACAGAGACAAGTAGGAGGTGCTTGACAAGTTCCTTCAGGAAAATCTTTAGAACAGCCAGATCTGACCCTTAAAGTCCCTCATAGCCTCCCCTTTCTTCTTTGTTAAAAAGAAAGATAGGAAGCTCTACCTAGTCTAGAATTATTATTGTCTTAATAAGGGTACTGTCAAAAACAAGTACCTGCTCCCTCTAATTCAGGAGCTCATTAATAAGATGTATACATCTAGGGTTTTTACTAAGTTGGACATTTGATAAGGATACAATAATATTCAGATTCAAGACAGAGATGAGTAGAAGGCTGTGTTCTAAACTAATTGTAGATTGTACAAACCAACTGTAATGTTCTTCAGACTAACTAACTTGCCTACAATGTTCCAGTCATTCATGAATCACATTCTTACAGATCTGATTGACTCAGAGTATGTTAGTGTGTATCTAGATAACATTCTGATCTTCACTCAGACAGTTGAGTACTATTACTAACTGATCCAAGTAGTTCTACAACAGTTCTAAGATAATAAACTGTTCCTCTAAGAAGTAAAGTACTCTTTTACACAGGAGTCAGTAGATTATCTAAGCTTCATAATTGGTGGAGGAGAGGTCTGTATAGATCCAGCAAAGGTAACTATAGTTTGAAACTGGTTACAACCTTAGAACCTGAAACAAGTCTAAGTGTTTCTTAGGTTTGTAAACTACTACTAATACTTCATTTAAGGCTTTAGTACTATTGTCTGGCCTCTACACAATCTCACTAGTAAAGATGTTCCTTAGTAATAGGAGGATTAGTAGTAGTTTGTGTTTGAGTCCCTAAAGCAGACTATTACTAGCAAGCCTGTACTAGTAGTTCTGACAGTTGTAGACAAGTTCTGAGTTGAAGCCAACTCTTCTGACTTTACAAATAAAGCAGTACTGTCCCAGTTCATTAACAGAAAGTAGTGTCCAATAGTGTTCTGATTAGAATCCCTCTCTGTAACAGAACAGAACTACTCTATCTATGACAAGGAACTCCTTACAATTGTCTGTTCCTTAGAGGAGTAGTATTAATATCTCTTTAGTACTGTACAGAAGTTTAAGATTTAGAGTAATCACCTTAATCTCTAGTACTTCCAGGCACCTCAGAAGCTTAACCACTACTAAGCCTACTGAATGTTAGAACTGTAGAACTTTGACTTTGTACTGACCTACAAACTTAGAATGTAAATAATGAAAGCTGATTTACTCTTAAGACAAGCAGGTTATAAAAGGGGGGAGAATGATAATGAAAATCTTGTTCTCTTAGACAATTCCTGTTTTGTGTCTGAGACAATCTAAGAGATCTGACTCAAATCCAAGAATGTTAACTTTGTCACCTGTATACAGTAAGCTCTAAGACACACACAGGACTAGGTTATAGTAAAGTAGCTAGAGAAGCAGGCAAGGGATTAGGAGGAGGATAAGGATAGACAGGTTTACTAGGAAGGCTAACTGTACATTCTAAAGGATCAGAAGCTGTAGGAGGACATTGTCTGAGCTCATTACAACAATCCAACTGTAGGACATTCAGACTAACACAAAACACAGGAACTCATTACTTAGAACTATTAGTAGCCCAGAATGTAGAGAGAAATCCTAAAGTATGTAACTAGTTATAATACATACTAACAGACTAAGGCCTACTAGACAAGGGTTCAGGCTCCTCTACATTTGTATTAGATCCTAGATCACCCTTAGGAAGAAGTCTAGTAAACCTGATTAGTAAGCTACCTGAGTCTTAGGGTTACAACACTATTTGTGTGATTGTTGACTGATTCTCTAAGTAAGTTTACACAGTTTCAACCTGAACAGAACTCACTCCTAAAAGTATAGTGTGTATTTATTAGAATCATGTCTTCTGATTGTACAGACTCTCTCAGAAGCTCATTCATAATTACAGACTATAATTCAAGTCAAAATTCATATAGGACTTGTATACACTTCTCAGAATTCAAGGGAACCCTTCTACTACCTATCACTTACAGACTAACAGCCAAACTGAGTGAGTCAATCAGAAGATCAAACTCTACCTCTGAATGTTCATTAATCATTAGTAATCAGATTAGTCTGAATAGTTAGCTCTGGCAGAATTTATACACAATAACTAGCAACACTCTACAACAGGACAGTCCCTGTTCTTCCTTAATTATGAGAGACATCTGTACTAGGGGACAGTTCTGAACCAGAACAGTAGTTCTGAATCTGTAACAGACTTTACAGAACAGATGTATAGAACCAGGGAGGACACACAAGCTCTTTTAGAAAAGGCAGTACAGGTTATAAAGTAGAACTATAATCAGAAGAAGTCTGCAGCTAAGGATTACTAGCCTAGTAACAAAGTTATACTAGAAGCTACTAACCTGACTACAGATTGTCTAATGAAGAAGTTGGACAACAAGCACTTTAGACCCTTTGTTATTAAAAAGAAGGTTAGTACCTCTGTCTACAAACTCTAACTTCTAGCAACATGGAAGCACATACACCTAGTGTTTAACAAGGTTCTACTGTCTCAGTACTATAATCCAGGTTTTCCTTTGTAACAAAGACCCCTACCACCTCTACTAGAACTTATCAGTTCTGAACCAGAATACAAAGTAGAGTATGTAGTAAATACTAAGCTAGTGTACAGAAAGCTTAAGTTCCTTATCTACTAGAAGGGATACCTGGTTGAAGAACACACTTAGGAACCTACTGAGAATCTCACCTATACTACTAAAGTAATCCAAGACTTCTATCAACTTCATCTGAGTACTCTGTATCAACTCTGTCTTACAGATTTCCAAACCCTACCATTCTAACTTATACCTGAGCTGCTGACTAAGCCCAATGTTCACTAATTAGGACAATTGGTTTTAGAGGGGGGGTGATGTTACAATCCTCTACTCTCTTACCTTCAGTTCTGAGGGTTCTACACCCTTCTGTACCAGAACTCAGGACTTCTGTCTCTCAGAGGTACTGTTTATAGACTATATGTATACTGACTCTTACTACTACCCTTCCTTACTTTATCATTCCATTCCTTTGACCACTCCTTCATTCTCTGTTCATTCTATAGTCTCTTACCCTTTGTCTATCCCTTCATTCTTTGTACCTTTATCTTTAACATTCCTTTCTTTCATTCTTCATAGCTTATCATTCTTAGTAGCCTATACTCTCTGAGTACTCTTGTATAGTTTAGTATATATAAGTGTATGAGATCAGACTGGTCCTGTAGTCTTGATCTTGTCTACTCTAGATAGTCCTATACTCTTAGACTTACTCTATATACTCTACTCTTGTCCTACTCTCTCTCTCTGCCTGTTCTGTGAGTTCTGACTATGTTCTAGTACTTGTATTCTGTATTTCTGTTGTGTAGGATAGTTGTAGCCTAGGTCCCCTTACTAAGCCTTCAGGTCCCCTCTATACTGTTGCTAACACTTTTGGTAAAGAGGTTCTATGTATGGTCCACTATATATAATAATCCCTCACATACTCAAGCTGTTAACCAAGCCTAATGTTCACTAATCAGGACAATTGGTTTTAGAGGGAGGGTAATGTTACAATCCTCTACTCTCTTACCTTCAGTTCTGAGGGTTCTACACTCTTCTGTACTAGAACTTGAGACTTCTGTTCCTCAGAAGTACTGTCTATAAACTATATACATACTAACTCTTACTACTACCCTTCCTTACTTTATCATTCTATTCCTTTGACTACTCCTTCATTCTCTGTTCATTCTATAGTCTCTTACCCTTTGTCTATCCCTTCATTCTTTGTACCTTTATCTTTGACATTCCTTTCTTTCATTCTTCATAGCTTATCATTCTTAGTAGCTCATACTCCCTGAGTACTCTTGTATAGTTTAGTATATATAGGCATACAAGATCAGACTAGTCCTATAGTCTTGATCTTGTCTACTCTAGGTAGTCCTGTACTCTTAGACTTACTCTATATACTCTACTCTTGTCTTACTCTCTCTCTCTACCTGTTCTGCAAGTTCTGACTATGTTCTAGTGCTTGTATTCTGTATTTCTGTTGTGTAGGATAGTTGTAGCCTGGGTCCCCTTACTAAGCCTTCAGGTCCTCTCTATACTGTTACTAACAAATATAAGAAAGTCTTACTGTTAAAATTGTTCTGAAGTGACTAAAGTAAGACTAGTTTTTATGTGTCCCTTCATTTCTACTTTATTGAGTGGTCTAAGTATCATCCTATAGTAGTATTTGGCCTTTCCCTAACATTGCTTAATAAAGTTGAGCTTGTAATAATACTTAGGATAGAAAATAGTCAAGTGACCCTGAGCCTTAATTAACTCCTCTAATACTAACTTCTGTACTTGAAAATCAGGCTTATTGAAGAGAATCCTCCTACAACAGTATTGAGAACCAGGAGTAGTACTAATACACTTGAAGCCCTTACACTCTACTAGTAAGCTAGATGTATTGTACCCTTGTTCTTAAAGTATCTGTACTATACCTTTAAATCAACCATCTGGAAAGTATAATGACTGTAGAGATCCATTATAAAAGTAGCCAGGTCTCATTCCTGGAGGTGGTGGAGCCTTTTTACTAGTCTAGTAACAGGGATTTTTAGGCATATAATGTGCTGAAAGTGCATTTGAGTGTTGTTTTGAGTGAATTGTTACATTATTAAAAGCAAAAAGACCTTTACATCCAGGGAAACAGTCTTCAAATACTGTAATAGCTTTTTCTACTTGTTTAATAAGGTCTTCATGCTAGAAATAGTTATTACAGTTCTTGCCTACCTTAAAGTAAATGTGTGCCTCCTAAGAGCTAGAATGAAGTTAGTTAGATTTGATTTAGAAAAGATACACAATAGAGAGAAATAGTACCTATTTGTAGTGTGTAACCATCCCTTCTCTAGTGTACAAAAGTCTGACACTATGATTGAAAGCCCTTCACCTTTAGAACATGGTTTGGGAGCTTCAGATTCATGAGTCCACATTGTCTGCCATTAATTATTTGTATAGAAAGTTGATTCATCATGAGTGACCAATATAATCTGTTACTGAGACTCAGACTGTTGCTTTCTATCTATCACTATACTCTTCTCAAGTTCTGCCTATAGAGGTAGAAATTTGTTCTGCTAGTACTCTACTACATCCTCCCTCTCATACCTATCAACATACATACTACTAGGTGCTTTGCCATACTGGAACCCTATTACATTCAACCAATTCTGAGCAGTTCTCAAAGAAATAGGTTGAGTCCTGCCTAGTTGATTCAGAACAGATGGTTGGTTAAGAAACTCCAGAACATCAGATAGGCTAATATACTTCTTGTTAAGACTTGAAAGGTGTAGTTGAATTGTGTTTGTAAAGTCTTCATCTTGTATTATTGACTTCTTCCAAGTCCTATAAAGATTTACAGGAAGTACTCAGTAGTCTTCAAGATGCTCTCTAACCTATTTACAAAGCATACATACTAGGTGAGGCCCTCAATTTGCTAATATTACTGATACTATTACTAATACTTCAGTCCAACCAATTTCATTGTATTTAGTATATAGATTAAGGAATACAAGCATAGCAGATACACAAGTATGAAAGAACAGGTCAAGACACCTGTTCTTGGACAAACAAAGTAGCTACTACTTTGTATCACAAATCATAGGGTCAGTTTGGTCAGGAGCTCAGAATTTCGAGTTGGATTGTATGATCTGTTGAATCATAGGTTAAAGTAGTGTAGTGTTAAATGTGCTGCTCTCTGGGAGATTTGGTGTTAAGACAAGACTACACAAGAGTATGTCTTAGATGATATAAACTACATTACAAGCAATGACAAACAATGATGGAATACCTTCCATCATACATTCTATATCTGAGACATACCTACATAGTATATATAGACTAACTAATCAACAGACAATAAAGCAAGCTGTAAGAGAGTAAGCTGAGTCCACTATCCCCCCTCTTTGTGTGATCCCTCTAAGCCTCTTACATAACCTCTTTCCCCTTTCTTAACAGGTTATGAGCCTTGTGCTCCCTGTCTATACTTTATCTACACTCTACCACATCTATACTCTATACAGTTCTATGTATCACATACACATATGTAACATACTATAATACAGAACTTGACTCACCTGTCTGAGTATCCCAAATGTGAATCAATATGCTGTAGACACACAATCTACTGTACTACATACAACCTAGACATTATATGATTGTCATTTTAGTGATTATGATCATTAGCTTAGTAGTAACATAATCTATGCAGGCACATTGAAACTATGATGAGTATTACTTACTACCAATTTATTA